CGCTGGCTGGCCGCGGGCGCGGTCATCGCGGTCACCCCGGGGTGCGCGTGGCCAGAGCCTCCTGCATCTTCTGGCGGCAGCGAGCGTAGCGGTGCCGCAGCCGGCGCACGTGCTCTTCCTCCTCCCGCTGCAGGATGCGCAAGAAGTTGTGCAGCTCCGGCAGCGTGAAGGCGTCCCACTGCGGGCACACGGGCTGCCATCGCGACGGGGATATGGCATCGCCCCCCGCCACGGCCACGTCCCCCGTGACGCGCAGCCGCCGGTCCCCACCCCGTCCCCGCACTCACGTTCACCTCCCCGGTCTCATTCTCCTTCAGGACGAAGCTGAGCACCTTCTCGCTGGGGCCGGCCAGCAGCCGCAGGCGCAGGGGCTGCTCCTCATCAGCCAGCTTCCGCAGGTACACTGCAACGGTGGCCGCGCGTCACGGGGGGGACACCGCCACAGGGATGTCACCACCATGGGGACACTGCCACTATGGGGACATCACTGCCACTGTGGGGACGCTGCTGCTACAGGGATGCTGCTACCCCGAGGATGCTGCCACTATGGGGACATCACCACCACACGGGACACCACTGCTATGGGGGACGCTGCTGCCAGGGGGGACATGCCCGTGGTGACAGGGGACACTGCGGCCAAAGGGGGATACCACTGCTACAGGGATGCTGCCGCTATGGGGACGCTGCCGCCATGGGGATGCTGCCGTTATGAGGGCATCACCGTGGGGGACATCGCTGCCATGGGGATGCTGCTGCCATAGGGGACAGCCCCACAGCCACTGGTGACACTGCCACCAAGGAGGATAGCACTGCAGCAGGGATGCTGCCAGTATGGGGACACCGCTGCCACAGGCAACACCGCTGCCACCATGGGGAAGCTGCCAGTATGGGGACACCGCTGCCAGGGAGGACACCACTGCCACGGGGATGCTGCCACCCTGGGGGACACCGCCACCCTGGGGACATCGCCACCACGGGGCCACCACCACCACCACGGGGGCACGGTGACCACTGCGGGGACAGGGCTGCCCCGGGGCACTACCTTGCTCATCCTTCTCGGACCTCTCGAAGAGGGCAAACTTGCGGGGGTTGTCGACGACGGTGAACTTGCGGAGGAGGGCGTCGATGACCTCGCTGGCGCGGGTGTGCGAGAGGATGTGCAGGTGCTTGACGGTCCCCTTGGGCAGGTAGAAGGACGTGCGGCGCTTCACCCCCTGGGTGCGCGGCCCCTGCCGCCCCGCCTGCAGGGAGGGGACCCGCTTGGTGGCCGGCACCGAGACGGGGCGCACCAGCTTCAGCTGCACCTTGATGAAGCCGGTGTAGGAGCCGTCCTTGTTCTGGGAGACACCGGTGCAGGGACGGTGAGCGGGGCCAGGGCAGGGCACCGTGACCCCCCCCCCGGCCCCGCGGCAGCCCTGTACCAGGCTCATGAAGAGGTTGCTGTTGATCTGGCTGTTGTACTCCTTGATCCGCTGCTCCACCTGCGCCTGGTCCAGCTCTGTCTTCTCCCACTCGCTGGGCTCATCCTGCACAACAGCGGCCGGGCTGAGTGGCGCTGCGGCCGCGGGGGACCCCTCCGCCTGCCCCGGTGTCCCGCCGCCCCCCAGCCCGCCCCGAAACACCGGCTGACACACGAGCGGGCGGTTGCGTGGGGTTGCATCAGCCCAGCTGGCGCTGAGCTGGGCTGTGCCGGGGAAGCGCGGCTGAGCTCATCACCGTCCCAGCCCTGCTCCGGGGACACCGGCATCGGCCACTCCCCCACCCCTCATCCCTGGGGCTGCAGGGGTGGGCGAACCTGCCACAAGGACACCCCGGGGCCAGGCATCCCCTCCCAGCACCCCAGATCAGAGAGACATCCCCAAGGCAGAGAGCCTGGCACCAGGGTGGTGGGGCAGGCTGGGCGCCTGTGGGGACACCCCAGGATTCAGGGCAGGAGGGCCGGGTTGGGGGTGCAGCCCGCCCGTGCCGCCGGCACCCCGCTTCAAAGCGCCGGCCCCACGCAGGGGATACCCAGGCGTCCTGGCTCAGCGTTCCCGCCGCCGGCACCCACTAATGAGTATTTACACGGGACCGCGGAGCTGCCGCGCAGAGCCGCACGTGTCCCCACGGTGCCGTGGGGCTGGGGAGCACCCGGGCTCCTGGCCCTGATGGCCACCCCGCAGCATGCAGGCGCTGCCGGACCCTGCTGGGGTCCCCGCGGGATGGGGACGGCTGTGAGGCTGCCCTGGGGGGGCTCACCCCGGCACCCCCAAGCACTGTCCTTCACCCCCTCCGGGAGCAGCTCCAGCCCCAGGGGGCCATGGGGCAGCCGTGCCAAGCAGCAAAGCCCCACTCACCCCAC